CTGCGAATAGATGAAAATCAAATAGGCTTGAGCTATTTTGAAAGTCATTTATATATATCAAAAAGAGCAACGGTCCAAGGACAGACCCTTGTGGAACTCCACATGTCACGTTACACTGTGTTGACGTGACTGAATTCACAGTGACAACTTGTCGCCGATTGCTTAGATATGAAATAAACCACTCCTTGGCTATACCCCGGATACCATAATGCTCCAATTTCTTTCTCAATATATTGTGGTTGACAGTATCAAAGGCTTTACTAAAATCTAAGAAGATTACACAAGAGATGTTCCGCTTTTCAATTGCTTTCTGTATTTTGTCGATTATACAGAGAATGGCATGATCTGTACTATGTCTGGTTCGAAAACCAAATTGCTTGTTGTAGAATATATTACTATTAACTAGATATTTAATTAATCTGTTATACATAAGTCTTTCCAACAGCTTATTAAAAACCGAAAGTAAAGAAATTGGGCGGTAGTTGGACAAGCAAGTTCGTGACCCCTTTTTATACACTGGAATAATGTTAGCTAGTTTGAAGTCAGTAGGGACAGTGCCAGTTGAGAATGAGGTGTTAAAACGAATCTCCAATGGTTTGGAAGTAGCAGATTTTAGAAGCTTGAGTATGTCAATGGGGATACTGAAAGGATCTACAGCCTTTCCACTTTTGAGACTAGATATTATGTTTTCTATTTCAGTGATTGTGGTGGGAGAAATAAAAAAGCTGTTGCTTTGTGGTAAACGTAGATATTCCTCAGGTCTTTTGTTGACTCTAGGTATTTCATTCTCTAGCTTGTTGCCAACATTAGTAAAATAATTATTAAATGCATCAGAAACATGTTTGGGGTCAGAAAATTCTTTGTTCACCTTATTCACCTTTTTCTCTGACCACCGACCGACCACTCCGTTGGTCGGTCGGTGGTCGTAACATTTCTGCAAACGTTCATTTACCTTTGCCTCTCTTGGTTTCGCTTTACTCGTATCCAAAGACAACACAACCACAGGCTTCTTAGGCTTTGCTTCCTCTGGCTTCTTGGAACCGCTGGTAATAACGGGGGAACTGAGCCAAGTGAAGAAATAAAACAGAAACTCAACTCGTGACTACATGTTTAACATCAGAGCAAGCAAATGATTAACACTGTACAATACTCACTTAACGTCCATGTGAGCTGTCAAAGCTTTTTCTGCTCTTCTCATCTTTTCCAGCTCAATCTGCACCACAAAGATTACAAACCGTGACATTAGAAACAAAGATCAAGCTA